GCGACGGGGCTTGTTAATATTGTCGCGTGCGTGTCGTTCGTCTTCGTTTTTAATTGAAATAAATGCAACGTATTTTCGTTTTCTATCTCTCTCTCTCTCTCTGTGTGCATCGCACAGTGGAAAAGCTGGCCGAAATTCAAATTTTCAGACTTAACCCCTTAACGCACAGTTTTTTTGAAAAAAACCGGCCAAAAAAAATCAATTTTTTTAATGTAAAAAAAACAAACTTTAGAACATTGTTTTGGCAAAAAAATAAAAAAAATTCAAAATTAATCAAAATTTTTAGTTTAATTTTGGATTTTGATCCACATTGCAGAAAAGAGCCGAATATTGCAATGTTACACGTCCATCGACTTTTTTATTTTTCGTTTCGAATAACACGATTCTTTTTCTTAGCTTTCACATTGTTATTTTCAATTCTCGAATATATTCGAGTGTGAAAAATTATAGCAGCATCAAATACAACGCCGCTCGAATTATCTCGAGTGTGCACAGTTTGGCCTGTTTAGCGCGCTCGAATTAACTCGAGCGTGCAAGTTAAGGGGTTAATTAAAAACCAGAGAAAAAGGGAGAATAAAAAATTACGTAGGATTGTACTTAGATAAATGAGATTGCTTCTGAAGTTTGTATTTTACCGTGAGTTTTCGTGTAAAATTGTGTGAAATAATTTTTTAACTATGCTCGATAAGCAGCAAGTGCAACTTGGTTCTGCTAGAATTAGTAAAATAATTTTGACCAAATTTTTTTAAACGTATACTTCAGTGTGCATCGTTGATTTAGAGGAAATTGGTAAGTTCGTTTATCGCGTGGACGTTTGAATTTCTGTTTCTGATTTCCACGATTAAATCGATCGCTGGCGCGACACGCGAATTTTTCACGAAAAGCCATATGCAACGGTAATTTTATGCAAGTCTTCAGACTGAAATTCGAGCCTTTTAACACGAATTTCTTAGGTGTTGATATCTTCACGAGGGACCTCTCCGAATTTGTAGAAAAATTTCAGTGAAAAGCTAGTAGCGCAAATTTTCATATTTTACCAAAGTAAATTTCCCTATTTTACTGTTCAAGGATCCTTTCTCAACCTTCCATTTTCTTTGCCCCTGTGATTTAACAAAGAAAACTGCGAACAGTCTGTAGTAAATTCTTAACCCTTTAGCTCAGATTTTTCTCAGCTTGATGTGCAAGATAATACTATACTGATAATTTTCACTGTTTAAAATTTAATAACTCAGTTATTAATAATAATTTGATAACTCGCTGCAACTTACTTTCTTTGCCGTAACAGAAAAGATAAAGCAATTTGGGAAGCGAAAGAAAATAATTGAAAAAATTTCACTTAATGGACTAATTCTTCTTCAAACAAATCTGAATTTCCAGCAATTATTACAACAGACACGTTTCAATTGACAGAAACGTTCACCTAACAATCAACGAATCTCACCAACCAGTCAAACCAGCCAAGTACAATGTAATAATAATCTGAAGATGATAAATCAGATCCAATCGACAGGTTTTTCCCTGAATTTCACACGAGATTCATCAGAACCTGGTGTAACAGCCTACCAGCAATGATTTATCGAATTGATTAGTTGCTTAGATGGATATATTAATTAACCTATCAATAGTTCTCGGTCGATAATCAACATTATTCACGGGTGAACGTTTATTAAAACGAATTATCGCGGATTTTGCCTCGCCGGTGCATATATCGTATTGAAGGCGCGGAAACGTAGACTATTTGAAATTTGCCTGGTGCCACACGCGATAAACACGGAGATTAGCGATTGTTATTTTGAATTGCTGCCAGTTTTACGCTCGTTTGCGTCGCTCGCGTGGATGTTCACATCGGCAAATCGATTACACGCGCGAATCCGCTTCTTACACGTCTCGAGAGCTTCGTTTTTGCTCGTCCAGTGATTGGTGATCGACGAAACAGGGTGTGTTTAAAGTGTCGTTAAACTCTCGTCCCTGTATTTTCCTTTAAGTGCTGCAAATGAACTCTGGGAAATATGGTTAGGTGCAAAAAGCGTGGAGTATTTTGTAAATAATGGGCGAAATGGCCGTTGATCATCTTGATAACTTGCTTCTGACAAATTTCTAGATGAAAATTAATATATCGAGTGATTTTAACGACTGGCTGACGCTTTGTAATTTTATTCAAAGTGGAAATAGAAGAAAATTATGGTCAACTTAATAAACTCTATCTTCTCGTGACATAATATTTTCAGAGAGATTGTAATAACTGTGTAGAATGTTTTGCAATTTCATTTCGGATGAAAATTGAAGGGATGTCGTTTAAGAAATTTTTAATAATTTAATAGACTCTATTTTCTTGTGACATGATTTTTTCAGAGATTGCAATAACTGTGTAGAATGTTTTGCAATTTTATTTCGGATGGAAATTGAAGAAATGTCATTTAAGAGAATTTTGCACAATTTAATAGACTCTATTTTCCTGCGATATGATTTTTCCAAAAGTGCGCCGATTTACTTGGAATAAAATTACAGGTAAATCAGATTACCAAAATCGCCGTGTATCAGTTCAAATTTTCACCAAAAGACAGTCGTATTCTTCGAATTCCCGAAATATTCACGAAACTGTTACAAAAACTAAATTCTCATATTTTGATTGTTCGACGATACTTTTTCAATTTTCCGCGTTTTTTGCACCTGACGTTTATCAGACACCAAAGGTGAGTTTTATGTTATAATCATACACAAGTTCGAGTCAATAGCAATATGTCTTTAACCATATCACGAAGCCATTGTTCCGTGACACGAAAATCATAGCCTCTTTATTCACGGTACTACTTCACGAAAATTACCGTGTAACGACCGTTTCGCGTAGTTTACGACGGCCAAGTTACTATTATAACCTCGAGGAACAACCTGAACTAGTGACACGTAAAAACAAAGACGTGTAAAGAACGAGCAAGTATTCCTTGTCCCGATAAGATACTATTTGCTTATCAACGAGCGGAACCGGTAGGAAAAACTGGAAGAAGCACTTTAAATACTAACGTGACAAACAAAATATAACTCACGCGTTGTAACTAGCACTTTCAAGAATAAAAGACAGGATTTTTTTCTCTGACTCTCGTTTTTATGAAATTCGATCGAAGATAGACGAGAACATTTTGTTCCTCGAATTGAAAATAATACACTTTTCTTTGGAATATTTAATAATAGTGTAAATGGAAGAATTGTTGGAATTTTATTCGTTGGGATTTTCAATGGCGAGGCGAAAAGTCGCGAATTGAGAATTCTTATTTCTGCGAAATTTAGTCAGACACGTGAGAAAATGTTGTTCCTCGAATCGAAGATAATACACAAAATACTCACTTTCCTTCGGAATTTTCAATGATAGTGTAAAAGGAAGATTTGTTGGAATGTTATTTGAATTTGATGCAGTTAATATTCAGCGATTTCCAGTGGCGAGGCGAAATGTCGCGAATTGAGAATTCTTATTTTTAGGAAATTTAGTCAGACACGTGAGAAAATTTGGTTCCTCGAATTGAAAATAATGCACAGAAAAATCACACTTTTTTGGGGAATTTTCAATAATAGTGCGAAACGAAGATTCGTTGGAATTTGATTTAATATTCAGCGATTTCCAGTGGCTAGGCGAAAAGTCGCGAATTGAGAACTTTTATTTTTGCGAAATTTAATTAACAAGACACATGATAAAATTTTCTTCTTCAAATCAGAAATGATGCCCAAAAATATCACACTTTTTCCTTCAGAATTCTCAGTAATTTTATTCGAATTTGACGCGGTTGATATCCACCGCTCTCCAGATTTCAAAGCGAGAAGTCGCGAATTCGAAACTCTCATTTCCACGAAATTTAATCAGAGGCAAAAATCGTGTGTTCGAATTAACAATAATACACAAAAAAGATCACACTTTTCTTTAGAATTTTCAGTAATTTTATTGGAATTTGACGCGGTTAATATCCAGCGATCTCCAGATTCCAATGCGAAAAGTCACGAATCGAGAACTGATTTCCGCGAAATTAAGGCACACGAAAAAATCTTGTGTTCGAATCGAAAACAATACAAAAAAGAGATCTCTTTTCTTCAGAATTTTCAGCAGTAATATAAAATGAAGATTTGTCGAAATTTTCTTTAAAAACTTGACGCGCTCAACATCCACCGTTCTCCAAATGGCGAGGCCAGAAAGGAGCCGCGAGTTTACAAATTTAACACACAACAACTAACACACAAACTTAATCCGTGAAACGAGATTTAACGATCCGTCCGAACGAGTATTTACGATAGTTCGATTCTTTTCGTTGTAGATTTTCGAGTAGGTGAGAGGAGGTGGGTGTTGTTTGCCCTCGGCGTACCAAAAATGACCACACCGTCTATAGTTCCGTATAAATAGCATTGTATTTCACATTATCTCGTGTACACTTTCAATAAATATCTTTCAAATAGTATTTACATAGCGAGACGTTTTCGGGGTGGGCGGGGTTAAAGGGAGGGACAGTTCGATTAAGGGAGGAGATTAAATTTTTCTTTTCTTATAAGAACCCGTAACCGTTGGCTCTTTCGGATATCTCAACGTTGACAATTACAGAAGAAATAGAAGAAAAGGTAACATACACTGGAAAAATTGTAAAAAGTCACGGTTTCGTCGTTCGTCGAATAAAACTTCGATGTTAAACATAAACGGACAATTTAAACGAGATTTCAACAAGGACAAGCGAAAGATGACGGTAACACCGGTTAAGAGTTTCAGGCATCGTTGAAATATTCGTAAATTCGGCGTGTATAAGCTGCCGTCGGCGACTCGAAACCGAAACAGACTCTCGACGTATATTTATGGCACTGATTCGATCGTCCTCAGGCTCCACAAAATCACACACGCGGACATTATTCCAGTTAGACACACGCACGCACACACACGCACACTGCGAGATTCGTCTTCGGTCTTTTCTTCGTCTCGAAAATTCCTCCCGGGTCTGTGTCACAACTTCTCGACGTGTGAATTTCTCCTGCTTCTCGGGGTACCAGGAACGAATCTCTTAATTTAAAAAGACCTCTTTCGAAGTTTCCTTCGTTCTATTGTTTCACCGTTACATACGTATATATAGATTGCAATTATTCCTCACTACAGCTTCTCCAGGGCTCGACTATTCGTCAATAACTCCCTGGTGAGTCTCCACACTTGTTTAGCCGCGTTCTCCAAACCACTCGGTGACTTCCCTTTGAACAGATCCAAATTGGGTAAGAAATAGTGCGGACATCTTCGACACTGTAGACAAGAGATCAATTGTAACAGGATCCCGTTTATACGATCCGCGATGCAAGTCTCGTCCCATTCGGCCTCGTGAGGATGTTTTTCGCACTCGTACAGCAGTAAAGTTTTCATGTGATAACTGGTGACAGGATTTCCCGGAAGATCCAAGTGTCTGTCCCTGAGAGTTTTCAAAATACTCAAGCAACGTTTTCTGCTTCCACCTTGAAGCAGACGATTTTCAGCGTCGATGAACGATAACGCCCAAGCGTCGCCTTCCATCGCGGACTGTTTCCCCTGCAAGCCTATACACTCTTTAGACAGCATATCGAAACCCTCTGTCTTCACTTCGGCGACGATGTTAGGATGCGGCCATGGTATGTGCGCGATCGGCCAGTGAGATGCTGATCTCGGCCATAATCCGGCACACTTGAACGCCGGTGTGATCTGCACCACGTATCTCTCTCTGATGCGGAGCTTGACTTCAGTCGTGTCGGCTATCATCTTCACCGAATCCCTGTAGGCACACTTGTCACACGCTTGAGCTACCAAAGTCTGAAATCTCGAGCGGATCTTTCTGGCGGATAGGTAGCCCGAGGCGGTGATGAACTCCACCCAAAGAGACATAGACCTCTTTCTACCGTCGCTGAGCTTTAGTACAGCGCAACCAGGTAGCGTTCCATCGTCCACGAAATTTAGAACGCCCATTTGATTCAGATAGATCACGATCTCGAACTCCGTCGGTGAAATAACGTCGAGACCGTCGAAACGGCCGTTGTAATCGGTTAAGGATGAGATAAACCTCGGCTCTTGAACCTCGACCTCCTTCAACACGTCCTGTACCACGCGACACACCTCCTGGATCGTCTTCATCACCTGGCTCTTCCTCGTCATCACGCGTTCTCCGAAGTACTTGTTGATCTGGTACACCATCTTGGACTGAGCCGCGAGCATATCGGCCGGCAACAGCATGGTTCGCGCCGGCCCGAAGCCTTCTGAGGCTTCTTTAAATAATTCCTACTCTCGATCACCGCATTCTGAACAATCTCGATCGTCTTCTTATTTTAAACGAATATCCCCTCCTCTTCGTCTTGCCTTCCCATCTGCTTCTTCTTGTATATTCGTTTAGGGCTTGCTCTTCTCGATGTATATATTTTACCGAAGAAATGCGAAAAATAATGATACTACTCGAAAATAGAGGTATGTCGCGCGCCGCGTCGCTAAGGGACGCCGGAGACACGAGCGAGAAGCGGTAGGAAAAGGTGTGCGAGCGACTCCGTGCCGGAGCAGATTGTCGACTGCGCTGTCGTTCACCTCCTCCGCGCCACCCGCTCTACGAAGGCGTGCGGCTCCCCGTGAGCCCTCCTCCGGCTGGCCACGCCTCCAGCCGCACTCGAGCGGCCACTCGGGCGCTCGGTGCGCCGAGTGGGCGTGGCCTGTCGCGGTGCGCCGACCGGATCGATCCGAGCCGACCCGTTCTTGCCTTACCCTATACGTTACACGCGCGCGCGTGCTCTCGCACGTCGAAGGACGAGCGCGGCGGCGGCTAACCCCGCAGCTCTAACGTCGAGCCCTTCTTCCCCCATGAATTATGCAGATCCTCTCTGACTGGTTTTATTTCCACGGTGGTCGTGGATACACCGGTGGCTCGGCCATTCCTCCGCAACCCCTTTTCGGACCGTAGAGACCGAAAATTTTCGTCATGGTGGAGGGATCGTGATTCTTCGAGTATGTTTTATTTTTCCTGTTCCAACGTACGATACTCTCCGTTGTTGCCCCTCTTATCTATACGGCGACGATAAAGATTTCTCGGAGAGGAGTCGCGGTGTTTCGGAGTCCGAATAAGAAATTTTCGCGCTTGTAATGATGCTGACGTTGAAAATCAGGTTGAGTTATCGAAGGAGAGGAGAGGAGAGGGGTGGTGGTCGGCGGTAAGATGGTGGGGAAGAGAGACGGTTTCGTTTACGAGCGTTTTATTGAGAACCGGACGCAGCACGCGGCGAAGAAAAAGTCGGTATAAAATCTACATTTAACGACGACAACGATAACTCTCCCATTAAGGCTTGTAAATCGCGAGGGAACTGCGCCGATACGGCTCGCGATGCTTCGTTCACCATGGAAACGTCTTTCCTCTTCTCACTTTGTTTTACGGGGCAATAATAATAACGTAAATTCTCCAACGATCGCCGTTCCATGGTGGCTTGAGTGGCACCGGCTAACGAATGTCATTGCGCTGGTAAGATAAGGGAGGAAGTTTCTTGTGGGAATTAAGATAAGGGACACGACTCGCGCCTCGTAGGCGTATTTTCTGGCCATGAAGCTCGGTAGCGATGCGCCTTTGACGAGGCTGCTCTGCTCCGTCGCGAGCGCGTGCACACACAAGTGTTAATGTCGTAGATAATAATTACGCTATGGTGGTTTTTATGGTCACGTTTGATATTTAGTGGACTCGTGATCGTGTGACCGTTTCGGGAAATTATCTGTGGTCTGTTTATTGCCGTACAAATTATTCAGATAGAACAGTGGTTAAAGCCAGAGGGATGATTCTGTTATGAACTCTGGTTGGTGGAGGTGTCTTTTTTATGCTGGTGATTGTGAAAAGAGACTAATTCATGTCGCTATCGTTCCGAGATTTTTGCACCCTTTTTTTCTTGAGGTGTATCTAACGATTCAATTTCGGACTGTTTCGGACGTTGCACCAAATATGTGACGAATTCAATATTTTTAGATTTTCGA